AATTAAATATTTGAAAATTCATGTAATTTTATTTCTGAAGTATCTTAAGCAGATTTTAAATGTTCTTCAATCTTGTGTTTCTTGGGGTTTTTTCTTTTTCATTTCTTTCTTTTTTATTTTATTTTCTTTCACCATATATAACATCATTCAGTAGAATTCAGTTATTTGTGGCAGAACTTGTAAATGAATCACAATCATATTTTATCATGTCACACTTAAATGTAAAAGTGCTTACATTTTGTTCTCAAAATTAGGTGTCATTTTCTGTACAAATTTTCATTCTTCTCTTTGAAAATACACATACATTGCAAGGTTGCAATAAAATGAGGAATGACAAGGTGTGATTCTCTCCATTTCTTCGTGATGTATTTAAAAAGTAGGTAGGAAGTTGTGATGATTTTTTTTTCTGTGCAGAAAGAGACAGTTGATTGTGTCACATAATAAGACTGCTATACCCAGTTATGCAAGGGGTAAACTTTATATACATACATACATGCACACACACACACACACATATATATATATATCCAGTTATACTATTAAAATTGAAAGTTCTCCTTCCAATAATACAGTTTAATACAATTTTGAAACTTGGCCAAAGTGTCATTAAGCTCCAGGGCTAACCTTTAAGCAGGAATGCTATTCCCGTATGATTTTGTCAGGTCTGCAAGTTTTGAAAGATGATCTGGTCTAATCCTTGTCAGCTGCTCTTTGCAGAAACATCCATAATGATAAGCCATAGGTAATTGATCCTTAAGAAACAACCACAAACTAAAGCCACATGGAGTTCATCTGAGAGAAATATCCACAAACCTAAGCCGTAGGGAAGAATTTGATTCCAAAGAAACATCCACATACCCAAGAGTAAGGAAGTTGATCCCAGAGAAACGTCCACGTACCCAAGTGTAAGGGAGTTGATCCCAGAGAAACGTCCACGTACCCAAGTGTAAGGGAGTTGATCCAAGAGAAACGTCCACGTATCTAAGTGTAAGGGAATTGATCCCAGAGAAACGTCAACACACCCAAGTGTAAGGGAATTGATCCCAGAGAAACGTCCACGACCCAAGTGTAAGGGAATTGGTCCCAGAGAAACGTCCACATACCTAAGTGTAATGGAGTTGATCCCAGAAAAACGTCCACGTACTGAATGTAAGGGAGTTGATCACAGAGAAACGTCCCAATACCCAAGTGTAAGGGAGTTGATCACAGAGAAACGTCCCAATACCCAAGTGTATGGGAGTTGATCCCACAGTAACGTCCACGTACACAAGTGTAAGGGAATTGATCCCAGAGAAACGTCCACATACCTAAGTGTAATGGAGTTGATCCCAGAGAAACGTCCACGTACCGAAGTGTAAGGGAGCTGATCCCAGAGAAACGTCCAAATACCCAAGTGTAAGGGAGTTGATCCCAGAGTAACGTCCATATACCCAAGTGTAATGGAATTGATCCCAGAGAAACGTCCACGTACCCAAGTGTAATGGAATTGATCCCAGAGAAACGTCCACATACCTAAGTGTAAGGGAGTTGATCCTAGAAAAATGTCCACGTACCCAAGTGTAAGAGTTTTGATCCCAGAGAAACGTCCACATACCCAAGTGTAAGGGAGTTTTTCCTAGAGAAACGTCCACGTATCCAAGTGTAAGGGAGTTGATCCCAGAGAAACGTCCACGTACCCAAGTGTAAGGGAGTTGATCACAGAGAAACGTCCACGTTCCCAAGGGTAAGGGAGTTGATCCCAGAGAAACGTCCACATACCCAAGTGTAAGGGAGGTGATCCCAGAGAAACGTCCACATACCCAAGTGTAAGGGAGTTGATCCCAGAGAAACGTCCACGTATCCAAGTGTAAGGGAGTTGATCCCAGAGAAACTGCCACGTACCCAAGTGTAAGGGAGTTGATCACAGAGAAACGTCCACGTTCCCAAGGTTAAGGGAGTTGATCCCAGAGAAACGTTCACGTACCCAAGTGTAAGGGAGTCCAGCTTAGAATAATAGTGTGGCTAAGATGCAGAGTTTACCATGAAGATTTTCGCTCCTTTTCCATTGTGGTTGAATTTCATGCATTTATAAAGTTCCATTTTTTTTTTTTAAAATTATGTGACGAGAAGTATTTTAGGAGATGATCTGCCTTCTGTACATCTGACCCTCAACAGGTGTGTATTATTGCAAGTCCATCAAAAACTTCTTGGAAGATTTTCTAGAATGTTTATACACATTCATCCCATGGTCCTGTTGACCAATATGACTAGATTCTGGCTGTTTTGAAAATCTTGTTATTCCTTCTGTTGAGTAGATGGTCGTGTCAATCAATTATGGGTTTTCTAATGATGTCTAGTTGGTCCTAAATGAAAATTGGGCAGATCCAATATGGCCATTGCAGTGTCCATCTTAAAAATCTTGTAATCGTTTCTCCAAAACAGTCATATACATGGACTTCTGACCAGAGGACTGATTTTCATGTTTAATTTGACCTAAATAAAATAGTGCAGATCTGATGGCCTATAACTGGCACAATGGCCATTTTGAAAAGTCTTTTCACTTTGCCCAAAGTTAAAACAAATATTAAATGCATTTGTTGTGCTTAACGCCATTTTTCAGCACACGATAGGCTATACATTGTGGCCAGTATCAATGGTGGAGGAAGAAACCGGGAAAAGACCGGAAAGAACCACCGACCCACGAGAAGACACTGGCAACTTTTTCACATATCCACATTCGCCGAATCCTAGACTCGAACCCACGCAGACAGATGGCAGTGATCTGTAACGGACAGCACTTTAGACCACTAGAGACTCCGCATATGTTGTGAAAAATATTTTGAATATAACCTTGTTTTAAATAAATCAGTGATGAAGACTGATACTATATAAAGTCAGAAACAAGGGTATATTGATGGGACTGATGTTGTGTGACGTGAGAGGAATATGATGTAATACATTGCTTCCATTTAATGACCAAATAGACGTTACTAGAAGGTTTTTGGTAAAATCCCATTATCAGTAAGATCATCCATTAAGGGGGAAATAGTGACAGCTAGATTTTCAAGACAGACATTTGGAAGAAATAATGGATGCAAGGTTGGCACCATTTTCATTTAGTGACAAATAGGTATAATGGCTCATTCGGTGAAATCCCATGTTAATATAACCATCCGTTTTGGATGAGCAGAGATAATAATTTCAAGATGGTCACAATATTGAGGATCAAATTGCATCACTTTAATTTAGGACCAATAAGGCACCATAAGAACTCTATGATGAGAGCAGTAACACGCTTTTCAAGATGCTCACCATGGTTACCACATCCAGGCATCCGATTGGCACCAGTCTAAGTTGGGACCAACAAGACAATATAAGAAGTATTCTTGTGAAAACCCCATATTGATATGACTAACCGTTTTGAAGGAGTAACAAGTATTTCTAACAAGGCTATCGTGATGGCTATACTGAATACAAGTTGCACACAATTTATATTTACGACCAATTGCAAGAAGTCTTTTGGTGCAAACCCCCTGTCATTATGACTTTCTTTTGAGGAATAACAACATTAATAAGATCAAGATTGTTGCCATTTTAGACATTAAAGTGGCTCCATCTTCGTTCAGGATAAACTAGATATCCCAAGAAGTGTGTCAATAAAACTTGTTGACCACCCATTCATTACGGATAGTGGTTAGATTTTCAGGCTTGTCACAGTGACAGCTATATTTGACGCCATATGCGCCATTTTTATTTTGGATCAACGAAACGTGACACGAAATCTGGCGAAACCCTCATATCAAGCTGACTTTAAATTCTGGAGAAGCAGTGATAATATTTTCAAGATGGCTGGTGTGGCAGCCATATTTGACACCAGATTTGTACCTTTTTCATTTAAAACCAGCTGGGCACTTTAAGAAGTCTTTTACTGAAAACCCTCATGTTGTTATGGCCGTACATTCTGGAGTAGTTATACTGGTTGACCTAAGTGGCATTATTTCATTTGGGACCAGCTGGGCATTATAAAATGGGGGGGGTAACCGAAAAAACCCATGTTTAAATGGTCGTACATTCAGGAGAACCAGTTATACTGGATATCCAAATGGAACTTTTTTATTTGGGACCAGCTGGGCTTTGTAAGTCTGTTTTAATGAAAAAACCCATGTTGATATGGCCGTACATTCAGGAGGAGTAGTTATACAGGATAACCAAGTGGCACTTTTTCATTTGGGACCAGCTGGGCATTAGAAGTTTTTTGGGGTTTTTTTTAATGAAAAACCCTATGTTTATATGGCTGTTCATTCAGGAGTAGTAATACTGGATGTAGAAGTGGCGCATTTTTCACTTAGGTCCAGGTAGACCAGAGGTCTTAAACACGTGATCAGTCAAGTCGTATCTTGTGGCCCTCTAAATGATTTGTGTCACAAGGTGTCATGAGATATCACAAAGCTGGTGCGGGCCTTTGGTCATCGAAAATGTCAATTGGCCCAGATATCACAAAGCTGGTGCGGGCCTTTGGTCATCGAAAATGCCCTAATATGGCCATAGCTAGTCTATAGGGTGAATGTGTGTGCAAAGTTTTTAGACAATTCTCTGAGTAGTTTAAGAGGGATATTGACAACAATCTTATGGATGGATGGATGGATTGATGGTTAGTGGCTGAAAAATTTCAGGCCCATTTTTATAGATCTACATGCAAGAAAATTATGATCAGGAAAATTTAAACAGAAACAACCAACAAATCCTTAGAGACTGATGGACAGAAATTTAAATGAGGATATATTTTGTGGTACTTACAAAACGTATGAATTTGTCAATGACATTGCACCGTTCTTAATAGCAATCATCGGAAATAATTTAGTGCAATAAAAATACTTACAGACTTGGGAAAAGATGTACTCGAGAAGGTGAAAAAGTCCACTATATAGCTTGTCCCTTTTAACATGACCAAATAAACATAATGAACAAGAGTGATTTTGATAAAGCCATACAACGTGTCATTTTTGCACGCTAAAGTGACCGCTCCGGGGGCCTAGTGGTTAGAGCGTTTGCCTTGGATGCAGAATGATTCCGGGTTCGAACCACGGCCGAATCATTCCAAAGTCTTATAAAAATGGTACTGCTGCCGTGCTAGGCGCTCAACATTAGGAGTTTAGTGTTGGGATTGGTCGGCCTGATGTCAGGATAATGTCATTGGGTAGGACATCATGCTACATGCCTGTGGCATGATGCCCCAGTGCTAGACGTCTCTATAAACTGACAATGCAGATATCGTAGCGATATCACTGAAATATTGTTAAAGCCATGTTGAAAATCCAGATCACACACACACACACACACATGCGAAATTCGGATAAATCATCGTGAAAATGCAAAGTGGATGTTTGAATGCATTGATTATGACATCGGTCATAGACAAGTACCAGTCACTTAAGAGAAAATTCAGTGCATCGATTTACCTGAATGGTTAGGACCAATAAAAGAGTGGGTCAATAAAGACAATATTAATTTATGCTCTATAATTTGTTAAATATGCCAAGTGCTTTTTAATAGCTCAACTGGTCATAAAAGAAATAGAGCTTACCTGTTTATTAGCACATTTTTGTTATTGCTACTTCAGATAAACTACTGGTGTTTTATTTTGTCCTAAAATAAAATTGAGCCAGCTTGATGTTCAAGATGGATATGGATTTAGAATAAATGTGTAATCTAAGGTGCTCGTCTTTGCAGATCACTCTCATCTGACATCCATCTACATGGGTTCGAGTCTTAGCTTTGCCATTGCTGGTATGAGGATAAGCTTGCCAGTCTTTCCCATGAAACATATTTACGACAAAATCGCTAAGGCTCCATTTGTAAACTGGGGCCTTTAGTTTTTTTTTTTGGTTGAAATATGAGATTTCGTAGGAAGGCTCCATTGGGCATTCTGAGGCTTTAATAGATTTTGTCGCAAAAATTTGTAGGGTTTGCCCTCCCTGCTGCTAATGAGAATGATCCGATTAGACATCCATTATGACCACCACAACTCTTATCACTATTTGTCATGAATGAACGGTGATAACATTAGGTTGGAGGTGGGTAGGCTAACGTCATTTTTTTTCAGCACATGACGGCCGTAATATTTGGTGGAGGAATAGCCAAGGTAGAACCACAAGCTCATGGGATACCCACATGGAGACTCTAACACATGTACATAAGTGTAGCGTGACATGTAAAGGTAAGCACTTACGACCCCTTTGACACCAGGATCTCTTTTTACTGAAATATATCTTATGACATCTAGTTACTCGTAAATGAAAATAATGAAAATCTGACCTTCAATATGGCCATTTCACTTGTCTTGAAAAATCTTATCACTACTTTTTCAAGATGGCTGGTCATCATCGAAATGGAAAGGACTTATTATGTGTATTTGATCCTAAAATGGATATGATTTTTAACGTAGCTGCTTTAACAATTTTTCAGTCATATCGCTACGATGTCTGCAGTGTGGCAGTTTATAGTGATCTCTAGCACTGGGGCATCATGCCGCAGACATGTAGCATGATGTCCCACCCAGTCACATTATCCTGACACCAGGCCGACCAGTCCTAACACTAACCTCTTAATGTTGAGCGCCAAGTACCATTTATGTAAGTCTTTGATATGAATCGGCCGGAGATCGAACCCACGACCTCCCGCATCCGAGGCGGACGCATTAACCAATAGGCCACCGGAGCGGTAGGGAAAATTCAGTTTAGAAAAAAATCTATAGCTTGATTAGAAAATTAGTATGTATGTATACAATGGAGATAATTTAAGGTAGTACTCGCCGCGCTGCAGTGAAAGCAGGGTGAGAAGATGTCTCTTGACGATATTATGTGTTTTCTTAATATTTAAATAAACCAGAATACGATTTGTACTTTACATAAGCCAAAAGAGCAAACTCAAGAATAAAGGCATGTAACAGAGTTGTATGGCTTGTAACAAAATTGTACGGCATGTGACAAAGTTTCTTTCCCATACCATGCAACAAACTTGTAACGCTAGATAATATGCATGAAATGTGTGACAAATAAAGAATTTAGTTCATTTGTTGCTTAAAATGTTTTGTAACATGGTTTGTTTTGAAGGACATTTTTAACACATTATTTTGTACATGAAACGACGGTGCTGTTTGGTATTGGAAAGAAAAGTATTATATTTAGTATTGTAAAGAAATGTCTTATATTTGGTATGGGAAACAAACGTCTTAATTATTTGGTATGGGAGAAAAACATTTTACATCTGGTATTGGAAAGAAAAGTCAGATTTAGTATTGGAAAGAAAAACCTTATATTTGGAATTGGACAGAAAAGTCATATATTTGGTAAGACATACGAATTTTTTTGAATAATCGCATAATGAAGATATGATAGGGGCAGAAGTAACAAGAAAAAATGTAATTACAGAAGGGACTAGTTGCTATCATAACGCAAAATTATGTGTTTCCAATGATGAGGTCGAGTTCTTAAAATATAGGAGTAGCCTTGAAAGGTATTATTCATATTAAATCTTTCTTATTAAGGTAATGGAAGGATGAAACACTACCATTTAACAATTCTAAGACAAATTGAGGTAATCATTTTTAAAATAATTGACATGTGTATATTTCTCTGGTAATGATAATGAAAAAAATAAAAACTAATTTAAGAATAAAAAGATGTTACAACTCTCTTTAAATTCTAAGTTTGTAAGACGTCGTCCCTGAACGGATTTATAAAAAAATATTTTATGACTAACTTTCTAATTAAATCCTGGTGGCATTCCAAATATGATCCAACGCTGAACGTGCTGACGTGCATGTAGTCTCGAATGTACAAATGAAACAATAGTCTGAAGTGTGATGATGTGTCAACAGTCTTTGGACGAATCATAATGATATAATCCAAAATATCCTTGTCTGAATTCATTACAGTTCCAACTTAATATCTCATTCCAAATTATTATTGACGAGCACCATATATTTCCAGTAAATAAATAATTTGAATAAATAAAGTCCAGCCCAAATCAAATTCTAAACACAGCAAATTATTATACTTCAAGATCGTACTGCACGAATTAATAAATTCTGATAAACAAGATTATAAAGCCCTCTACTTAAACGAGGTTGCCATTAGCATTTTCTATATATAAATAATTTTAAAAAAACCCACAAAGACACCCAAAAAACCCAAAACAAAAGGAGGAAAACTTAATTTTTTTAACCTCATCCAATTTTGACTCCATTTGCTAGGTTTCAGGTGAAAAATCGGATAAGAGCATAATCAGATACATGTGATGTTTAATATAAGAAAATAAGCAAAATATACCTCCGTTCAGCAGAGGCAAAAAACAGATGTAGATAAATAGAATAAGTTTTTGAACCCTCTAATTTTCATCCACCACACTGCAAAAATGTTTTTTTTTGGTACTTTTTTAAAAAAGAAATTTGTACTACTAATAACTTTTTAAGTTATGAATTACCTATAGAAATGTAAAATTTCATTTTTACTTGTAATTTTGCATGCACCCCACCTCCTCTTAATAAGAAAACTACAACTAGAAATATGGCCGTACTTCAAATCTTTAATAGTTCACATTCACTTTATTCTCTATAGATTTTGCTAATTCCTTTGACCCAGAGATTCACACATCAAAGTACTAACTAGTCTTTGAGAAAAATACGTAAACTCAAACCCTAACATGGAAAAACTGAGCTCAACCCAAAGGTAAACACAGATCATAGAACCATGAAATATACGTCGCTACGACCTTTTTCACTGAATGCTATCAAGACACATTTACATAACTTACGTAACTCCTCCGAGAATAAGTCCTGATTTTAAAAAAAAAAAGAAAAAAGCTAAACGCAAAAGTGAACGAAATATACTGCACTGATAAGTTTTACTGGAACAAGTATTTTATCAGTATGTTTAGTACTTTGATTTTCTTCTAGCATGTAAACATATCTCGGCGGCTAACTACAGTTCTCTTGTTGTGACGCACGTGTTCAACGTGTGAGCTATCTTTTGGCCCGGAAAGGATTTTGATATACAAAAATGTCAAAATGTGAATATTTAATCCACGTTTTTCCACGCAAGAGGCAGACAAAAGTGTATCATTGTAGTCTGTACAATTTCTAGAGGGTAACTATTAATATTGAAGATTTTAATGTGTTGTTGTGCAACAAAAGACCATCCACCTGTTTCATGCCGAATACTCTACAGATGGGGGAAGATGCACATACTAAAGTACAAATGCTTTAGGACACAGGATACTAATTGTATTGAAAAATGCGAACCAGCCTAAAAATGGGAGAGAGTATATACAGGTTTGGGTGACCAGGATTGGTTCATAATGTAAGTTATGTTGTAGGAAAAAGAATCTTTTGAGACCTTATCCTAGTTGAAAGTGAATAGAAATAGAGACATTGTTTTATTGATGGAATTTCAGTTCATTAATAGTCTTGAGTTTGGAACACTCACTACTAAAATTAGCACCTGACTCTTTGATGTGGAATTGAAAGCACATGTTTCAAACATATGCAACTCCAGAAAATGCCGCGGCTTTCCTTTGCACAGAAGCTGACTTCTAGGTTTCATCTATACTGATAAATATAAGTTTGGCCATGAGCACTCCAAAATTTTAAGTTATTTAATTTTTAATATCATGTTTGCATAGTACCGTGATTCCTTCAACATCTTCTAAGGTGAGTAAATTGTATCTAGGTGTTTTAGGATATTTACTATATTTTTCATTGAGGTTGTTTACTATAACGTTTGGGTTTTTACACACCTCAGGGTGAATATTCAAGTCGCTGTGAACATTACAATCGCTTTATTTAAGGACTATTGGTAGTACGATTTGGTCTAACGGGTAGGTGGATGTGGTATAGTACGTAATGAGTTTAAAGTTATATATTATTAACTTTAAAAAGTATCATTTTAATATTTAGGTGCAATCTATTTTACGGGTAATGTATTTATTTGATCTAAAATAGTCCATTCTACGCTCAATAGATCACGGCATTGAGATAGCACTGAGCTATTGCGTTGTAATTATCTTGTTGCATGAGGACTAATCGAGATGTAACCAGCTTAACATTTTTCATATACACAGGGCCTTGCGTATAATGCATGTGGCTGGTATCTTTCCTTGTGTTATAGTTTTCAGGCTTTACCCCTCAACCCTCGAGTTATTGACCGGTACTCCTAATTTACTTTGTAACGAGTCTGTGAGCATCATCTGCCCAAATACACGTCTAAAGATAAAATGAAGAATATTTTCCATTAGTTAATTATCCCTAAAGAAACCTTTCATGTGTTAATAAATACAGAGGCGTAGCGAGGGTGTGGCAAGACGCCGCACGTGCCGTCGGCACCACTTGAAAGAAGGCACAAAATCGGTGAGCATAACAGCATTTTTCATACTTTCAAAGTTTTGATAGGGACGCAATTAAGAGTTCTTACCGTGGGTGCCACTTTGATAAGAGCTCAATTAGAGTTCTTGCCGTGGATGCCATATTGATAGGGACGCAATTTGAGTTCTTGCCGTGGATGCCATATTGATAGGGACGCAATTTGAGTTCTTGCCGTGGATGCCATATCGATAGGGACGCAATTTGAGTTCTTGCCGTGGGTGCCATATTGATAGGGACGCAATTTGAGTTCTTACCGTGTATGCCATATTGATAGGCACGCAATTTGAGTTCTTGCAGTGGGTGCCACTTTGATAGGGACGCAATTTTAGCTCTTGCCGTGGGCGCTACATGTCTTCGCTACGCCTTTGCATAAATATGTGTATTTCATTTAATTGCATAAATGAGAACTATTCAAGTTGTGATAATTTTCCGCTTGTGAGCGAGACAGTTACATATTTTATATAATCAGACATTTCTGGTGGAGGTCACAATTGTCACTAATCGTGACTGTTAAACGAAGCACTTTAGCGCAGGGTCCCTGAGTAGCCGAGTGGTCTAAAGCGAAGTCCGTTACGGATCACTGCCATATCACCTCTGTCTGCGTGGGTTCGAGTTTAGGATTCGGCGAATGTGGATATGTGAGAAAGCTTGCCAGTAGCTTCTCGTAGGTCGGTGGTTCTTTCCGGTGATTTCCGGGTTTCTTCCTCCACCATTATTACTGGCCGCCATGAATAGCCTATCGAGTGCTGAAAAATGGCGTTAAGCCCAACAACAACAACAACAACACTATAGCGCAACATGCCCAATGACGGTAAAAATGACATGTATGCATGCATAAATCTATGTGCTTTTCTACACTGGATTATACGATGTATTGTTGTCGTTCTAGGATTTAACGCCACATTTCAGCACAAGATAGGCTATACATGGCGGACAGTATAATTAGTGGAGGAAGAACCCAGAAAAAAACCCGGAAAGAACCACCGATCCATGAGAAGTTACTGTCAAGTTTTCTCCCACTCCCACATTCGCCGAACCCGAGACTCGAACCCATGCAGATAGAGGTGAGATGGCAATATGTAGCGGTGGGCGCTTTAGACCACTCAGCCACTCTATGATGTGTAAAATTAGGCCACGGAAAGAGTTGACACTTGTTTGTACTATTAGTGATATACATATTAACGTTGACTATGTGACATTTTATGTATTTGTTAATATTAGTTATGTTCTTTTGCGTATGGCATTTGAACACTGGATAAATTAGTTTATATTGTACAGTGTGGTCATTCGCAGTTTTGA